CACACACACACACACACACACACACACACACACACACACACACACACACACACACACACGTGCAGGCTTTTTATGGCACACAGCGTTATGAGCAAACATGAAGGTCTAATTGGAATGTGTGTGTTTGTTTCAACGTGATGGGCTTCCCCCACATTTCAGTTCCTATTTCACTCGTGCTTTAGTTTTCCCTGTTCCTTAGTGCCTTAGAGTTTAAATTAGAAGATGTGAAGCATTTGAAGAGCTGAGGTTCCTCTTGCATAATGGTAGACAAGTTTTTATTTTATGCATTTTTTTGCTGCGCTCAATTCCCTATAGTAAATATATCTAAAAGAGAAGTGAACACGTGTTCTACATCCTGTCCTTCAGATGTTACACCAATGTGTTCTAATGCGAGGGTCCGAGGGACGTTTATGAGCCTGCTCTTAGTGTTTGACAGGAAGTTGAATGCAGACTTTGGTCTTGGACTCAGGATGCTGTGCAGATGTGCGGTCTCCAGAGCTCCTGGGGTCACTCTTCGTTCTTAGTTACTCTCCAGCTGATAATCAGAGCGAAATGTAGATTTGAAATATTCTAGGGTCTGAAAGTATTGATGCCAGATGAGGACTGTACGGACCTGAGGCCTTGGTTCCGCTCTCACTCCTCCAGCCTTATCACGGCCGACCAGACATCACTTGGCACAGAAAATCAGCTCAGTGCGCCGTGACTGTCTCCTCATCAGTTTCTCACAGTGAGGAAGTGATGAGGTGAGATGCATCTGTAATACGAGTGTCAGCGCCAGGACACATTGAACCAGGGTTTTTTTCTCACCATCTGTCGGGAGCTGGACGTGACAACCACAGAAAGAAACACAAATTGTTCTTTGTTTGGGTGTAAGCTTGGGTCATTCCCCCTGCAAAGATCATTTCATTGTACCAATACACACCCAGATTTAGTTAGATTTAGTAAACAAACCATTTTCTCCACCTAACATTGCGTCTGAAACAGCTGATGATGGATGAAACCACTCATTGACGGAAAGAACTGGCCTTGTTGAGGTTGAAAATGGAGAAACTAATGGGATTCTGTTTAATTTGCTGCAGCCTGGATGACCACAGTCTCATCTGTATGATCAGAGCATATTCCTCTGCCAAGGCCAAACATTCTGCACCAAATCCTTCATGTTCACTTGGACATAGTTCTGAATATATTGAAAATACTTTCAAACTGTCTTTTCTTTACTGAATCCACATTATCTCAGCGACACATTGGCGGTAGTTACAGGTTTGTAGTCCTACTTGTTGCCAATCAGCGGCTAATTAAAGCCTCTGTGATGTGTTCGCTCAAATCGCCATCAGAAGGTGACTCCAGGTTGCAAAAACAGGTCAGTTTCTATAGAAGTCTAGTAGATTCTACTTCTCACTTAATTTATAACATCAGTAAACATTTTCTTGAGGATGGTCTCAATCTTTAGTTTCAAGTCTTGCAGCATGATGTTCAGTTTGTAAAATTTACGGTAAAGACGAGTCAAATAGTCAATGAGTATGCATTCGTGCATCAAAGACCAAAGATGCCCAAATTGCAGACGGGGGATTTTCACCAGCAAATGTAAAATATTCTGTCACTTGAACCCCCTCTTGACTTCGTCTCTGATGGGAAACTGGGTACTAACTGATTTGTGTTGCTGGAATCTTGCTCACATAGCATCACACAAACTGGAGTTGGCAGCTTTTTTCACTGCATTTACACACGCTGCTAATTGAACTCTCCTCCCACACCCTCTTACTGCATAGGGTGGAATCAGGCCTTGTCCGGTTGAATTACTCCGAAGGAAACTGGGCTGAAACTGTTGGATTACAAATTCTGGTTACGATGATATGACTATCAGGGTGAGATGTATGACATCTGCTTGCCATCCTTGCAAAATCCTATTTATATGTGAAAACCCCAAGACGTGTTTGAATTGTATTCTGTTTCTTACATCCAATCTGAATGCTTGCTGAGCGGTAACACATTTCTCACAGTACCCTGATTTCAGCGGCCGTGAACTCAGTGCTTTGTCTTTTTTTTTTTTTTTTTTTTTTTTTGCTGCAATAGCACTGGCAGCAGCCGAGTTTCATTTTAACCCACAGAGACACACTTGTGTCGCACAGGCTCGATTGTCAGGAGAGTGAGTGATGAATCTGGTCACTGAGGATGACCGAGGCTCCACCACACCCAGAGGCAGTCAAATAAAAAAAGAAAAACACTCCACTGTTAAACAAAACAAATATCAAGTATTTTATTTTGCTTTACTTGAATGTAAAAAGCCATAATTGATATTTAGCTCATGTTGGTAATATGTTATAATTATCACTTCCTGGTACTGATATTTTCTGTTGACCTAAACGTCTTTATTCAAATTTGTATTTGATTAAATGCCCCAAAAGGTATTGGTGGACGTGGATCATTTTGAATGTGTGACAGTAAAGATCCTGCTGAGCCTCTTAGCAACATTTCTTTCATAGATCGTACTTATTAAGCATTTTGTAGGACTTTTGTGTGAAATGTTGATCCGCTTCTTCAGGAATAGATTGGAGGGATATTTTGTTGCTTCTCTTTAGCAACAAGGCTCAAGAAAATAACATCTGCAGGCTGAAAACTAATTGGGTAAAAAGCGGCTGCAGTAATAAGGAGAACTATTTTTACTTGTTCTTTGAGTGTACTCACACTATGTATCCTCATGGGTCTCTGTAGATGATCTTGGGAACTGATTTAGTTTTTATCTTTCTGTGCTAAAAAAAAAAGACCATTATTTGGATCAGTAATAAATCAAGCATAGTTCTTGAAGCGTTAAAGTCTATATTATTTTATTTAGTATAAAATATGCTGACATAGTGGTCCTGATAGGGCTGTGTGATATGGCTAAAATCTGATCTCACATCCAGAAAAAATTTACATTCTGTGACTCAGTGCTCATGCTGTTTCTCAATCATCTTTTTTTCTGCTTCCATCTCTGAGATTTGTTTGTGTTTTCATTGTCTGAGTTTGGGATAGATTGTAATCAGTAGATTGACTGGATTTATAAAGCTCTTTTAATGTCTGTCAACCACTCTGAACATTGTACAATGTATGTCTCATTCGCACACACATGCACACGTGACGCAGCATTCTGGAAAAGATCGAATCTGGACTCTTCTCCTAAACCATGTCTCCCTGAAACCTGACGTCAGGTTTCTTTTTAACACTCAGGTACATTCCTGGCTCTCGTTAGTTGACTCTCTCCCTACTGTTTGACATAAATCTGGTTTGGTGGTAAACGTTTTTGAAAGTACCATTTCTGTTCTCCATGAGACCAAACCACATCCATGTGGTCCCCGTATGTTGCCTTCCTGCGTCTGTTGTGTGAAAGAACACAAAGTTCCCTTCAACTGTCTCACGCGTCTGTAAATTGCGTGATTTACGGCACAAAGAAATAACCGATAGGGAATGATCTAAAACGACAGATGTTTTTCTATCGTCACATATTATCTATCATTATCTCATACAGCCCTAGATCCAAATGGAGTATTTTGGTACTTAACAACTTACAAACGTGTTTTTATCATCTCACACTTCAATCATATTCCCTCACAGTGAAATCAAATTCCCCCAAAAAGCAAATCAAGAAGGCGAAAAAACACACAAATTGAACACACTTCTGGCCGAGCCTCCAGAGGCAGCTGTTTGTGGATGTGCCACAGTTTCTCCTCACGCCATTGATTTTTTCAGTCGGGTCTCTGGCCCCAAAAGCCATTTAGTGGTTTTGTCTCTGGACTTTAGTGGTCCCAATGCCCCTGATTTCCTGACGTGCCGTTGTGAACAAGACATAGCAAACAATCAGTGGTTGTTGTTCTGAATCAAAATAGCTTTGAACTCTTAAGATTCACTGGTTCTCAGAGTTTGCTGAATGTGTTTGTTGAGTTTCTGAAAAAGAGAATGCACTTATGTTGTTCGGAGATTCACCCTGACTGAAATGATCACAGCTGTAACTTGTGTCTGGGCTGTTTTAATGGGGATTTCTAAATGACTGTTCTTTTGTGATGATATCCCGGCAGAAAAACATTTTTTATTTGCACAAAGCAGCTTTCAAGTTGGTGCAGTGCGTACAGAGGGCATCGGAAAATGTAATTTTCTCCTCAAAGATGGCATCTCATGGTGTTTCTATTGAACCGAACTTGCTTCGCCACTTTTCAGCCTGTGCCGCCTCAGAAACTCAGGGCGATGTTGCTCTTCTCAAGACAGATTTAGAAAACCTACTGTTTGGCTTTTTATAACTGCACTTAATAGACTCAACGATATCATGAGGCTTCTAATCAGCAGAGTTTTATGTGGGACTGGGTCTGTAACTGAGGCAGAATGTCAAGTGTGAAGAAACACCTCACTGCTCTTTTTAAAGTGCACACTCAGGTCTGTGCAGCCGGCCGGACTTTAACTGTTTCACACTCAGAAGCAGAGAAAGGTTAAAAACCTTAAACACCAGCAATGTTCTGTCCTCTTCACAGCTACGTGTTTTGTCAGTGTCCTTGAGCCAGGACACTGAACCTTTAGCTGGTTATGTGAACAAAAGTCAATATGGTGAGAGACTGTGAGCCTGAACTGTAAATGGCTGCTTCCTACCTGAACGAAGCTCCTCTCCTCCTCCTCCTTCTCCTCCTCCTCACATTTTACCTTCTCTTTTCATTTGCCCTTCCACAGACCCCCCCCTCACAAAGATTTATGAATGTCAGTATTTTTATTTTACTGCCGTAGCAAGGACGCAGGAACAGTCTCTACCTGCTACCAAAATGAAAATTAATCCCCCCTTGCTTTCTCTCTCCCTCTCTGTGTCTCCCTCCCTCCCTCCCTTCTGTAACCGTGCAGGCAGTTGGCGGGGATGGAAGATGATGGAGGACAAAGGCCCTCGTGTAGCCGACTACTTTGTGGTGGCCGGTCTGACGGACTCGTCCAAGCCGTTGGACCAGGAGATCCACTTTGACGATGTCTGCCACAAGACGGCCAAGCCCAAGGCACCGGTCACCGACGTGGCCCTGGTGATCCGCTCGATGGGCGAGGAGGTGCCGCCAGGGTTCACTTGCATCGAGACGACACCCAGCGGCCATTCAGCCGATCTTAACAATGGCGGCCTCATGGCGCCACAGATCTTTATATGCTACAGGCGAGGTCGTGACAAGCCGCCACTCACTGACCTTGGGTAAGTCCTAAAGTAGATGTCATTTTTATTTTGGCTGAGGATTTACTGAGGCATTCAGGAGATGGTTCATGACAGAGGCTCTGTTTAAATCCACTCTGAAATAAGCTTTGAATCTCCATTGATCAGAATTTCTTTTTAGGTTGATGGATGGTGGGCCTATTTTTCTTTCTTTTCCACAGACAGTTTTGTAACACTCAAGGTGACATCTTGAAATGCCAAGTTTTATTTGACCAACAGTCCAAAACCTGAAGATTTTCAATTAACTGTCACATGGGAGAAAGAAAAGGAGTCATTCATCATAAATTAGAAGCAGGAAATAAAGAAAATATTCAGTTATTTAATTATCAAAAAAGCTGCAGGTTATTTTTACCAACCAGTTAATTAACTAATCATATTAACTCTCATAAAAAACGAATCTAGTCCGAGTTTACTGACACAGACACATGATTTCCAGCTGGTGTTCTGATTTATACTTATGTTGAAACTGTCAAAATCTATTGAGAGGTCGATATCATGTCTGTTCTGAGCAGCAAGCGCTTTAGGAAGTGCCACGCTCCGTCTGAAAATTCCTCCAGTGCAGCAGTTTTCCACAGCAGCAGCTTTCTGTCTGCTCGCAGCGAGTCACTGGCGTGAGTTTGCTGCAAAAAGAGGAAAAGCCTGAATCGCCGTTACAGGTGTCGTCCTCAGCAACATTTTCTGAAGTGTGTGAATTCACTACTGTTTGTTCAGTCCTCTCACACCTCAGGCAGGTGGTGACAATGCTAAGGAGGCTAATACTGGCCTCTGACATGACAGAGTGCAGTGCTTATCAGGCACTGACACGGGCACTCTGCTCAGGACGGTATCAGCAGCTTTTGGAGGCTGATAGCCCTGAGGGGCTGCACTTCTCACACTCTGGCAGGACTGATGGGAAGCTGAGGTGTGTGTGTGTGTGTGTGTGTGTGTGTGTGTGTGTGTGT